GATAGATAGATAGATAGATAGATAGATAGATAGATAGATAGATAGATAGATGATAGGTAGATAGAACACTGATTTTTCAAGGTTTGAAATGAAGCTCATACCTACCAAACACATTGAGACTGAAACTTTTGCTTTTGTCTCCAGCTGTATTAGAGGCCAAACATGTGTATCGTCCTGTGTGTGACACTTGAGCATTGGTGATCTGGAGAAAACGGCCATCAGACATCATGTGGTGGACTTCATCTTCTTGGAGAAGCTGTCCATCTTTGTGCCATGTGATCTGCGGCACAGGGTTCCCTGTTAAGGAAAAGCCATTTTTTTTTTGAGGGCAGCTCAATATCACATATCTATAAATGGCCAACACCCAAAGAAGACATTGTCACATATTTGCTGTGTTTTCCATAGCCCACTTTTAAAACAATGAAGTAGCTATTCTTTCTGAAATAGTGTCAAAAATGAAATTTTAATGTAGCAGTGATTACACTGTGGTGAAAAAGACAAAAATATAGAAATCATTTCAAATGTAGGTTAGCTTTTATCTGTAAATGATTCTAAACACTGGTCTCTGTGTTTAAATTGGTCTCCATGTTTAGTTATAGGTGGTTTAGCTCCTATAATTAACTATTTTCACAGTAAATTACACTTTAAAAGAATGAAGCACATCATTATAAAAATATTATAAATTCTATTCATATGAAAACCTTTTTTATTCTCTTGAGAGAAAACAGTAGAAAAGTAAAGCATTTAGTTCAACAAATTTTGTGATATATTATGATTCTTCCGAAGAATGTAGAGATAAATTAAAGTAATTATTTATTCAAAATTTGTAGCTGGTGGAGAACACTTTAGAAAGTTTTAAATGGAGACACGTGTTAAATATTATTTAAAATTATTCAGATGACTTCCTGTAATTTAAAAACTACAAAAGCAAGTCATGTTAACAAAGGTGGCTGGAATGGACCATTAAACTCAGAAGCTTAAACAGAGAATGCTGTAAGTTTGGGCAAAGACAGGGAGGGAGGCAGGGCAGGAGGATGGAAAACTAGACACCTTTTTCCTGCCATTTGATAAAACTGTTCTCTAAGGCCAGAGTGGTGGCGCATGCCTTTAATCCCAGCACTTGGGAGGCAGAGGCAGGCGGATCTCTGTGAGTTCGAGGCCAGCCTTGTCCCAGGATTAAAAGAATTGCCTCCTTACCTGTCGCCTCACAAGTCAAGGTTACATTCTGTTTCTCTTTAATCTTCACATCTTCCAATGTATTTTCACCCACAATATGAGGAGGAACTAAAATAAACACACAAAACCACGGGAAAAGCAAGTTATAGCTCGAACAGCCAGGCTGTGATGTAAGTGCCTAAGCTTTAAACACATCTTCATTATTTAGTGACTGGAATGTCAAAGCATTGTTTTTACCAATTCTAGTTTTCTCTTGCACTATAAAATTGTTACAAACCCCAATTTTAATGAATGACATTGTAATTTAAATCACAAATATGAATAAAATGTGTAGTGGTTATATTTAAAAGTTAATTTGACACTGTCTCTAATCCTGTGGAAAAGAAGTTGCAAAGAAGGACTGTGTGAATTAGGCAGGCCTGTGGACAAGTCTGTGGAGGATTGTCTTAATTATGTTAAGTGAGGTGAGAGGACCCACCCACTCTGGATGGCACTAGTCCCTGGGATGGACTCCTGGACTCTGTAGGAGAGGACAAAACCAGCTGAGTTATACATATAGGCATCTAGTATCTTTCTATTCTTGACTGTGCATGTAAATGATTTCAACTTTCTGCTCCCTTGGCTTCCCCATTGTGATAGGCTGTGACCTCACACTGTGGTTTAAAATACATCCTTTCTCCCCTAAGTTACTTTGCGTTGCTTTATCACAGCAACATGAAGTAAACTAAGACAGAATGTGTCCACAAACTAATGAGTAAGTGCTCTCATTTCAAGCAACCACACCATGTCTTAGAACATTTCTGAGCAGTTGTGAACTGGTACCACAAGGCAGTTTTTTAGTTGAATCAGACTCATTTCCTCCAAATAATTGTAATGCTGAACCCTTGCCAAGAATCATAGTCCAGGAGCCAAAGACCACATAGGTATAAATTCCAGCTGTGAATAAATTTGAGCTCTGTGTCCAGAATGCACTGAGGCCAATTGGATTTTCCCTTTACATATTGCAAAGTACACAAGTACCTAATACTGAGAGTCCAAACATTTTCCTCTCTTCACCAGCTGCGTTCCTTACAATACAAGTATACTGGCCAGCATCTTCTGGTCTGGTCTGCATCAACCGCAGCATCCTGCCTCCTGGAAAAACAAAGCAGCAGATGACTTAAAGATAAATATAGTTCTGGGTGACACCAAGTGAGAAATAAAGTTTTGCAGAGAAGGTAAAATACTGCTGTGGTTGAGTATGAAGTTATAGAGGCAGAGGGTAGGAATAGCCGGAGTATGTATAGTGAAAGAGGTGTCGGAAAGGACAAGAGGCAAAGTTGGATGAGGTTTGGCCAGGTTCTGTGTGCCCCTGGATGTTACACTGAGGAATTTAGTGCTTGCTGGAGGTGAAGGAGGGAGCTACATGTGTAAAACAAGCTCATGATCTGATTTGGTGCTTTCACAAGTTGGTGCTGACCTGATGCTCAGGAAAGACTGTGTAAAGGGCCTGAACGATAAAATGGGAATGCCAGCAGGAGGAGTAGATTGGGGACCCAGATTTGGGTGACATGGATAGAAAAGGGAGATGAAACCGTGACAATGGACTGACTGGTAGCTATCATGTCAGCTTCTTGGAAATCCTGGTGTCCTTAATGACAGGGTAACGGGGTCACCTCAGGCACGGACACAATGCTACCTTGGCTTCTTTCCGTATTTCGAATGTCTGTGTTTTCCTTGAAGAGGAAATGCACACAGACTGAGACATGCTGAAAGACGGAATTTGGCAGGAAATTTCTATTAAGGACGAAGGCAAAGGAGTCAGCATGTAAGATGAAGCACAGCCTTTTGAAAACAAATCAACACACTGGAAGTAGAAACCTCCGAATGACTTAGGAAAAAAATCTCAGGGAAAAAAAAGTACTGCTCAGATTTATAAAAACTTTTTAGTTGGGCATATTTTTGCTTAGCACCTTGGATTTGTACTAAAACTTCTAGTGGACACATATAAAATTGTCACTTAAATAGTCACCTGGATCTAGCTGAGGAGCCACCATCTGCTTTCAGTTTAGAGGGAGACAAGACGGCACTGCTTGTCCAACCAGCGACTCCTTCCCCACCCTCAATCCACCAGAAGGTGAATTTAGCAATATCTTTTTTTTTGAAAAGTAAAGCTGATGTCTTGTACTGAATTGTGTTTTTCCCAGCAAAACAGAAGTAAACAACATAAACAGGGGTTCCTTTTTAAACACTTATGTCAATTTGGAAAGGAGTCACCAACGGGTTGCTAGCTCAGATTAGTGAGACCACAGTTGAGGGATATTGAAGTGATACAACGTTTACGAATTGGGTCCACAATCCTCAGTCAACTAGGCCACATCTTTGCTTCTTGATCCTCTCACATAATCTTGTGAAAGCTTGAAATGAGTGTGACGGCAATTTATACTTATATCAAGATATGTCTAGCTTCTACCAGATTTTTAACGGCAGTTGCCTATTCTTGGCAGATAACCCTCTGACAATGGTAGGGCCGTCCCCAAAGCCCTGCTTGCAGACGAGCCTCAGGAGGATTAGTCTTCACGAAACAGAAGTGTGCAGCAGAGTAGCAGTGAGCAGGTCCCATGTCATTCATCTGCTTCTCATTTATCCATCACACAAAACACATCCAGATTGTAAAGCCGAACGAGTCCTTTGGCACTCATAAGGTGAAATACTTTTAATGTGCTTTGCTCGGGGATCTCCAGCTGCTGGTCAATCAAAACAAAACTAAACAGAACCCAAACACCACTCCTGTAAATGGGTAAGAAGCCAGCCGGAGCATTCTGCCATACTGTTTTCATTTCAGCCATCTTTGATGTTATCGCATTTAATAAATTCAAACTTTCCAGACCTGAAACTACTTAAAAAGAAATGAAGATAATTTTGAAAAGAGAAGATAATGTACTCAGGCTTTTGGTAGCCAAACTGTAGAAAAAAAATCTTGGCCACTACTCTCTACTTCTCAAGACATGGAGATAGGGTCCTATGAAGTGAAAAGCATCATAGGACAGAGGAAGAACTCGGGGAGTTTCCCAAGTCCAGATTGAGTATTGGTGCTTTAGCAAGCACTGTGTTAATAACTTAACATGATATAAACACACTTCAGTTTAATAAAAGCCACAGGATACAGATGCTGCCAGGGTTAACAAAGCTGAGTAACTTCCTCAAAAGCTGAAGATAGATTGTCTTTTTAGTGTATGTGACAGCCATTATCTAAACAGGCCAACTGTAGATTTCTTGTGACATGCCTCAAAAACCTTCTATACAGGCTTACACAGACCTATGGGTGATAAGATATCCAGGTTTTCCTACAAAATTATCAGAAGCTGAACTAGTGATGAGGTCACAGCACCCAGGGAACTCACTTCCCAGTGATATAAGTACTATTCAGACAAGTCATGCGTCATTTGGCATTCTTAGTACAAGGGGAATGTTATAGGATGCTAATAAGACAATGCCAACTGCTTTTTAAGACAGGAGTTAGGAGATTAATTTAAAGGTTTTCCTGATATTCATATACCCTTCTGTGTTTCAAGTATGTTTGTGTAGTATGACGAGTAGGTATCATAATAAGCGCCTAGATCAGAAAGAAACATGAAACAATATAAACACTGAAAATGAACTAAAGAGAAATGATGTTCACATGAAGTCAGCCAGATGATCAAGCTATCTGAATTGTGAGTACCTGAGAGAATTTTCACAGAACTGCCGAGGCTGACGGGCCAGCCATCTTTAAGCCAGGTTATAGAAGGCAGGGGGATGCCAGAGGCTTCGCAAGTCAGGGATACAGAGCTCTTCTCCACCACACTGACGTTCTCAGGAATTCCTTGGTTCCCTATGATGCTTGGAGGGGCTAGAAGATAAAACCAAAGTGACTGGAAATAGAAAAGAAGGAAGCCAATGCATAATCCTTGACAGCTTATTTCCAGCGAGAGCCTTCCATTTCCTTGTTAATAGTAATCAAAACAAGCAATCATAGTAATGCCATCTCTGAAAATAAAAATGTATGTCACGGCTTTCCAATTTTGATTAATTTGGCCCTGCTATGCCAGCAATGGTGAACTAGTTTATGAGTTAGTCCTATTTTCTGACAGATTTATAATAAAAAATTCACAAGCGTCTTATAGACAGGATTCTGTAAAAATTGTTGTAATCATAAAAATTCAATGTATTTGACAAGATATTTAATATTAATTTTCTTTTTTTATCCGGTTCCCCTCATCTTTGGCATACGCACTGGCTATAAACATAAGAGACTAACACTAAGCTTCAACTGTTTCCTTTTTGTTTGTTATGAGACAGAGTTTCATCCTGTAACTCACGTTAATCTGGAACTCCCTATTGAGTCAGGCTGGCTTTGAACTCACAATCCTCCAAATGCAGCCTCAAAAGTTCTAGGATCATAGATATACACCAGTAGACCTAGGTTTATTTGTTTATTAATGGTATTCCAAGCTGCAAAATTTGTGTCTATTAAAATTCCCATTGCTTCTGTAGATTTAAAAATTATACATCAAATTGCATGAATACTAATAGCTGACTTTGAATGTGTACATGCCTGGTCTCTTCCTGCCCCAAATTTGTACTCTATTCATTAGAATCTTAAGTCTGACTTTAATACAACTCATATCCAAGGGATACTGAGCAGCAAACTTTAAAATAGTCTTACTTAAGACTTGACTTTGAAAATTGTATTATTGAAGGATTTAGCCAGATGTGGTAGTGCATGCCTTTAATCCCAGCACTAGTGATACAAAGGAGGTTGATTTTTTCCCCACTTTATTATATGCATCCTCAAAAGAACACTCTATGTGGTTGTCTCAGCAAGTAACACGAAGTCAGGCGTAGAAAGTGAAATGATGAGACTAAATAATAGTAAATATGTAGAAAAGGGTGGGCTCTGTGAAACACGGTCTTGCACTCACAATCTCACACTAGCTGTAGATACCCGCACAAGAACTACACATGATCAGGCTAGTCAAAATTCATGCACAGATGATGGACCTAACTCCAGCCTATGCTCCTTATTGAGGAGCTATTGGCAGTCAATAGCTGCTGAAAGGGAGACTCATTATTCTTGGGGGTGTGGCCAGTGACCAGTGCTTCACGGTACCACACCACGAACATATGGGCAGCACTAATTGGACTTAGTAATACAAAGGAGGGAAAAAAGGAAGTTAGGAGGGGCAGGTGTTGGGGGAGATTCTGGCAGGGTTGGAGATGAAATGGATGATGGGATGTGTAAATGATCATATTTCTCTGTATATATACGCCTGAAATTCTCAAAGAATTGAAAGAGACAGATGGGATATAAATAGACTACTTTTAGATATGAGGTCTATGCTCACAGGCGTGGAGGTGCAAATTACTCAGGGTCTGAGAATCTGAGCTCGCTTTACCCAGCAGGGCTGCATAAGGGGATGATTTGGCCATGGGCATGGTTACCCGTTGTTTGGAAGGGTCTACACTTGGCTGTGCAGTGTGCTTTGATCTAACAAGGGGGAGGTCTTTTGCCCCACCCCTTGGCATTGTTATAAAAAGCGCTTTTGAGTAAATTGAAAAGGCCACGGGGTATTGACCCAGGTCCTCCCTAAGCTATCCTGTGTTTCTGTCTTTCTCCTCTTCACTATATTTCTATCTAATATATATTTGGTTTTTCCGAGACAGGGTTTCTCTGTGTAGTTTTGGTGCCTGTCCTGGATCTCACTCTGTAGACCAAGCTGGCCTCGAACTCACAGGGATCCGCCTGGCTCTGCCTCCCGCGTGCTGGAATTAAAGGCGTGCACCACCATCGCCGGGCTCTAATATTTTCTTATCCTTCTCTCCTCCTCGTAAGAACCCTTGAAAAGGTGGGAGCTGGCCCCCCACACCCAGGATACTCGATTGTATCATCCTGTGAACAGATCTGGTGGTTCCCTCTCTACTTACCATGCACACTTAAGTCATATCTTTTGTCAGTCATTCCTGCTACATTCACAGCAACACACACGTAACGGCCTGTGTCAGACACATGAACATTCTTCAGCTGAAGGATGCGCCCTTCATCCAATATTTCCACTCCTTTTCCTGCGTTCAAAGGACGGCCATCTTTCATCCAAGTCACTGTTGGCTGAGGAATACCCTGCACCTCGCATTCCAAGGAAATACTCTTCCCACGGATAACGATAATTTCAGGGCGGTGGCTGCCGCTGTTGGCTATAGATGGTCGAACTTTGGGTGAAAAGACATAATGAGAAACAATACAGGAAATGTTTGCTTCACTTCTAATAGGAGTTTACACTTTGAACTGTCCATCTTGCTTCTCTTCTAAAGAACTGTGATAACAAGGAATGCACCACCACACCCAGGTGATGTGGTTGGGGGATGAAAGGCAGAGCCTTGCGCATGATAGGTGAACACTATAAAGTGAGTTACATCCTCAGTCCCAAGATAGATACAGTATTATGTCAATATATTAGCTACTAAAAAAGACTCCAAATAACAGACCACATTATTATGTAATAAATTATCAGTATATTGAGAGACAGAATTCTCTGTTTTTAGTAGGTTAATAGCTAAAAGAAAGTTATTGACCCAGGAGGCAAGGACTGCTGCATTCACTCATTTTTGGAGAAATAATACAGTAATTGTACTTATCAATTGTAATTCTGGCTTACAGAAGTGTTCCAAGTACTACAACGGATGTGGTAGCTTAGGGCTTCTTAACTTATTTTTACTAGTGATTCCGCTTCACCTGATAAAGCTTTATGTGATACTGGATATACAGGCACATAAAACAGATATACAAATCAAACACTTACTGTAATAAATCATAAAGAAACTTATTTTAAAATAATTCTTTAGTATGCATGTAATTTACTGCTTTCTAAAGGCAAAGTATGCATATTAATGAGATGGACATGCATGTTTATTTTTATATAATTCAAGCCTTTAATGTTGAAAAAGAGGCCCTAGGGGGGGCTGGGCTTGACATAAAGCAAAATATTGACACCCTTTCCCTTTCTTGACTTCAGTGGGGATTTGGTGTCACAGATGCAGCAACCCTCTTAACACCATGAAGGAAGGGCTAGACAAATCCCAGAGCCTCTGTCTTGTTAGGAATGAGAAGGTGACCATCTCCAGAGACCAACTGCTACCTCAGAGGTCTCCTTACGTGAAGAAGTAAACTGCCAGCTACGGCACTGGCAGCCAGTCATTCTGTTTCTCTACCGCTGAATCTACCTAATCGATACTGATGAGAATTAGAGATGAGGCCAACTTACACTCCTATGTGTGTGGGAAGGAAAATGGGCCAGGGTCAGTAAACCTGTGTTCTGGGGACCATACATAAGCCACGTGACCTTGTTCAACCATGGGGAGAGTCTCTGAGTTGGAATTCCCATGTGTGTGATAGAGGCTTCAGTTCTTCCTCATGTAGAGATGCACATAAAGCACATACAGATGAAGTGACATTAGGCATATCTTCAAACACTCTAAAATGTTGCACAGGTTATAGTCTAAATATCCTTTTAAAATAAAATATTTTATGTTTTTTCAATATACTCTTGTGCTGGGACTGTAACTTAGTTGGTGAGCAATACTTGCCTGGCATGTATGAGGCATGGATGCTAGCACATGCTTGTAATCCCAGCATCAGGAGGTAGATGAAGGAGGATAAGAAGCTAAAGGTCATTCAACTGTGTACCAAGTTTGAGGCTAGCCTGGGCTACATGAGAACTTATCAAAACAAACAAATAACAAAAACAAAAACCACCAGCAACAGAAACTATAAAGTATAATCCCTTCCATTCCCTTTCTACACATGTCCCTACCCAGCATATTGCCACCACCTTGATGTATCTGTTCCCAGCGAGATGATGGGGATGAATAGCTGTATTTCTGAATAAACAATCACCTGAAGGAAGCAATTGCTCTCTGGTTATGTCAACACAATTGATACCATGGTCTGGCTGTTACTGTGAATGAACCTTACAGCTCAAAAGCAAAACTGAAAGGAAATATAGGCATCTTCAGAAGAAAATTGTGCCCGGAGCTTGAGGAGGTCAATAACTTACTGTACACTTGCAGATTATAGTCTTTATTTGCAATTCCAGCCACATTGGATGCCACACACGTGTAGGGTCCTGCATCAGCTTTCTCGGCGACTGAAATTTGTAACCGTCTGCCTCCAGATAAAATGCGAACTCGTCCCACAGAGTCACCCAACACCAGAGAGCCTGCAATAAAACCCAAATAGCAGATTTTGAAGCAAAAAATGTGGTTTTCATATACATGCCCAGAGAAGAACTTCTTTATTACTTACTAGTTTAAATATCTAAAAGGTAGACAACCCTGTGAAACAATCCTTTTCTTGTGGGCAAAATGAAGATCTGGATGAAGTACAATTTTCATTGGTCTATTTTATGTTTAGTGGGCATGTATAAATATTTACTAATGAAATCTACTCAACTACAGACTTTAACCCTAAAATATATTGCAAAACTTCCATAAATGCAAAGAAATGTTTATTTTGGAAAATAATTTTAAGAACATTTGTAAAGAAAAATAATTCTTTGAATGGCAGACTTTTGATGATTATAAATGTTTCATAATACATTTGATTAAAAGCAAAAACATAATGCAGAAAATTGATTTTTCTGGTGAACAGTTAGTTTGAAAATGATCTTCAGTGAGAAAATACTTAAGTATCATATGCTGAAAGTTAATACAAAGCAATTTTGCTATCTAGCAGTTAGTATGCAAACCCGAAAGGTTTCTGTTGTTGTTTTTTTTCCTTTTACAAATTGACATGTTAGCCAAACAAAAAGATATTCATTCCATCTGTCCATCTATCTGTCTGTCTATCTATCTATCTATCTATCTATCTATCTATCTATCTATCTATCTATCTATCTATCTATCATCTCTGTATCATTTAAACTTTTAGTGATGCAAACTGACCTTTCTTCTTCCAAGTAAGATTTGGGGGTGGAATTCCACTTGATTCACACAGCAGAGTGACGAGATTCCCTTCAATGGCAGTAAGTTGCATGAGCTCATCAGATCCATAAATACTAGGTGGTACTGAAAGGAAAAAAAAAAAAGCATCGATCCTACAATGTTTGCCTCATGTGGTTTCCCTAACACTTTACACATAGTAGAAATGGCTTCTACCCAAATGATGGAAGAGAAAAAGCACCTAAGGTTGAAAGTCACCCCTAAAGAATACAGTCAGTTCCAAATAACAGACCCTCCCACTGTCACAGAAATTCTAGAACTGAAGTACTCAGAATGGCATGGTTTATTACAGGTATCTAGACATCAGCGCGAGAGTGTTGACACCTACCAAATGGAAAGTTAACCCAGACATGGATGCTCAGCCAGCTTTGCTATCTCAGATGCTGGATAGGAGTACATTAGGACATAATGTCCAATAAAAAACAAGGCAAGGGGCTTCACCTAAGAGGCAGACATTCACTTATTCTAGATTGCACACCTTGTCCTTTATTGGTCTGCAGAATTTGACTGGAGCCCTCCAAGTCAGTCTTGATTATTACGTTTCTCTCAAAGGGTTTGCAGCCGGAAGACACTAGCTAAACTCCTCCCCCCCCACCCCAGGACACTGCAGTGTCATCCAGTGGCAGATACCCATTCTTCCAAGTTCCTGGGAGTTGAGTGGTCATGGAATCCTTTTCACGCCCCACTAAAGGGTCAGTCCTTATTCAACTACCTCTGTGCAAACAATTCTATTCTTCTGAACTCATGAGACCAGTTCATTTCTTTTTATCATGTCTATGAATCTGTTCACTGATTGGCTACTGAACTTGTTTTGTTCTTCCTCTTCATACCAAGTCCTCCCACCATTCTGTAGAGTATCCACATGTATTGTAGAATATCCACATGAATAACCAGTACAAATGCCATAGGTTCAGGTCTTCTGTCTGCTCTTCCCTTTCTCCTTCAGAGACGATACAATGGCCTTTATGTCATCTAGAAAATTCCTCATGTATGTTCATAAATTCAGCCATGGTTTAATGATTGCTCCATTCTTGCTTTCTCACTCAAGTTGTCCCAACTCTCAATTCACCATCCTAATTGAATATTTTTATCTCTCAAATGTCTCCATATTCAGCTGTTTTTCTCTTGATTATTGACCTCTCTGCACCTTAGATTTCATAATCAACCATTTCAGTATCTCATTTGCCAATATTCCCAATTGTCTGACTCTCTGTCCTTCTTATTGAGCAACATTGCCATCAACTGTCCAACAGTCAATGAGTCACACAAAAGAAAATGACACAACCACAGACTGACACTACTCTAAGCTCATAATCTCCACTTTCAACTCTATCCTTAGCTACTCCTGGTGGCTTCTGGGAAGATAAGTAGTTATAATGAAGACTCTATCTAGATCTTACAGCAAATTTATTCTTCACATGTCACACAGGATGCTCAAGAAGCACTGCCAAGCTTGATTTGTCTGGAATTAAACACAGCAGTCTTTGTTCCTTCCCGAAGAGAGACACCACCATCCACAAGCCCAGCTGACTGAGGAACACAGATATTCTGCTCATCTTGATTCAGTGTCTTAAACACATCTAGAGTGTAGCTTATTTCTTTAAAAATACGTATTTGAGCACCCAGGTTCTTCTTTAAAACTCTTTAATGTGTTCTGCAACACTTAGAATTAAATACATTGAAGTTTTGTCAATCCATCCCCATTGCCTTTCTACCACATATTTCCTCTCTTTCCGCTGTAACATACTAGTCAATAATGAGCAATGTTGAGTTCACTGAATGAGACAGTGTACTTTAGCCCTTTGTATTGCTTTCATTCTGTTCACAGTTAATGCCTACTCATGCCTATGGTCTCAGTTATAGCATATTTGAGCTTAGAGTAGTGTCAGTCTGTGGTTGTGTCATTTTCTTTTGTGTGATTCAATGTTGGACAGTTGATGACAATACTGCTCAATAAGAAGGGCGAAGAGTCAGACAATTGAGAATATTGGCAAATGAGATATTGAAATGATTGATTATGAAATCTAAGGTGCAGAGAGGTCAATAATCAAAATATGGCATATTAACACATATATCTTTCTATCTAACCTAAAACAGACCTTTCACTTAAACTTAACTATTTAGAGTTTTCTAACCTGGACTCTTCATCTTTCTCATTAGCCACTACACATGGAATAGTGATAGAACAGAGGAAAGAATCCATATTTTTCAAGTGATCCTATCTCTGACATCTCAGGTTTCTCCACTATCATTCATTAGTATATTTATTGCACTCTACTTTCCATTGTTAAATTCCCCTTTTCCCAGAGGCCTTAGTTTATATATAAGTAAAGAACATCTTAAAGTTTATGTCTAGTGACTTCTCTGCAATATATAACATTGCCCATTAACTTATTCATCCACCTATGTACAGCTTATTCATTGCCCACTTTATTTTTCTTGGGACATCACTGTTCTTAATTTCCATGCAATCATTTTTTTAAACATAACTTTTCATTGATTCTTTGGGAACTTCACATCATACACCCCACTCCACTCACTTCCCAGTCCTTCTGTACCCACCCTTCATCCTTGCATCCCTTCCCAAAGGAAAATTTAAAAAGAAATAAAAATAGAAAATACAATTTAAAATATTAGATTAAAAAACAAACAAACAAACAAACAAAAACATTTTGCTCCTCTGTCTTTCCCACCTCTTCATTCATCTTAGTGGCCTTAAGAGCTGTGGTGTATTATATAGACCATTTGTCTTAACAGCTTTACTTGCAAATATACATTGCATAATGTGTTGTTGAGCAGGTTCAAGGCCTCTGGCTTCTGGCACACCATCAATACTAGACCATCACCAAAACTCCTCTTGGATATCTTGCTGTTACCTGGAGTCATGGAGATCCTGCAGCTATGGTTCTGTAGGACCAGTTCCTTCACTCACCCCAGCAGGTCATAGATGGGGTAGATGTTGGGGTGTGCCAACTCAAAGCCCAGGATGTGTGCCTGGGTGGTAGCTGAGTTGGTCAGTCTGGGCTGCTGGGACCACCCCCTCAGAAGAGGGACAGAGCTAGCTCTCCCATGCCCATGGGGTAGGAGGCAGCTATCCTGTGAGGGGCAGGACCAGCTCTCCAGTGCTGGGGTCAGGGGTGTGTGTGTGCTGCTATCCCAGGGCTGGCTAGGGTTAGGGTCAGCTCTATGCCATCACTTTTAATAGGCTTTCCTCCAGCCTCTTCAGCCGCTTCTTCTCAGTTTCCCACATAGGGTCCCGCTTTCTATCCCCATATTCATACAGCGCTCTTGGCGGCCATTTTGTATAGCACTCTACTGGACACATTTATTTTATCTCTTAAAGGAATCTCAGCTTCTACCTACACATAGTTATGACTCTAATTTTGCTTGTATTTCTGACTGTGTGGAGGATAAGTTCACGTGGTTGGTCCATAGATAGCTCAAAAGCTTCATGTCTCCACCTCACTCGTTTTGTTAATGGGGTTTCCCTGGGTTTTCTATTACACAGGCATCATCTTCTTCTGTTCATGTCTGCCTCAACCTCCCTCCTGCCTTTTCTTGCCTTCTCCCTTATTTCCTCTATCCCAACCCTCTTCTCCTCCCTAACGGTCCATCTCTCTTCTACTTTCATGTTTTCTGTTTGCTTTGGTTTGGGTTTCCACATTTAAGAGGAAGTATCTGACATCAGTCTTTCTTCTCATCTCATTTTCCAGGCGGTCATGACTCCTAATTTCCCATCTGCAGCCACCCCCTTAACCTTTACTTTACTGTTTTTAGCTCAGGGTCTTGTAAAAATTGTGAGATAGGAGAGTATTTTTCTCATTAGAAAGAAAGGAAAAAAAAAAGGTGAAATGAAGAGGGAGAAAGAACGGGAGGAGCTAAAAATGGAAATTGATGATGCATAATTCATATGCAGTAAATACAAATTTGCTATATGACAAACTGTACCATTTAAACACAAATTTATCTTTTTACAGAGTGAGCAGTAGCTTTTCTTATAGCTTACTGTAGTGATTATTAAAATGATAATTATTTTTAAAGTTATTTTGATACACACATACACATATGCTTTGAAAATTAATTTGTCCATCAAAATTAAGAAAAAACGTCTACTTTTTAATCTAAAAATGTCATTTTTCAAGTGAGTCAAATGTAAATTTCCTTTTATTATTTCAGTAAGTGAAAAGTTTAAACAAATAATTAAATTGAGACTTTATGTCACAAATAGATCCAAAGTAATATTTAAAATAATGGTAAAATGTTTAAGATGAGAGCATTTTTAAACAATTAGTACATAGCCACAGCCAAGGCATTGTGCATTACCTTAATAGCAAATGGTAAACACTTCAAGTGAAAAAAACTCAATTAGCATGGCAATCTCCTATACTGCCTTAAAGGGCATGAACACAGTTTGCATGTAGCATGGCCTTTTAATTTACTCTCACTGGACAAACCATCACTAGTGTCTAGAGGAAGGCCAATCGGTACAAGCCCTGGCTGTAAAAGCTAACAGGGATATCAGGCAGGAGAGGGGAATCATGCTACACTGAAGTCGCAATGATGAGCATGTTTAGGCTCAGGGCGTCCATCCATCCATTATGCATTTTGGATCAGTTCCTTGAGTGGATACTTGGGAAACTGATCATTTCCATTGACGCAGCACAATGTATGAATGCCATTTGAAGAACTGACCCAGTCAGTGAAAGCAAACCACAGGCTGATTGCTTTGTTTGACAGATGCTCTCTACACTTACCCCAGATGTTAACATTGTAGTTTTTCTCGTTTTTTCCAGCGACATTTGTTGCCTCACAGGTGTAACGACCAGTGTCTTGAACCTGAGCATCTTCAATCTGAAATAAAAAATAAAAGTCATGCTTGGGAATCAGCAATGTCTCCCCCACAACCTTTCCTTTTGGCCCTCCTCCCCGGCTTTTTTTTTCTATTTCAAGACAAATTCTCGCTCTGTAGCCCAGAGTAGCCCGGAAATCACTAGGCCATTATTCAAAAATGTCTGAGAGTCACATCAATTCTCTCTCAGCCTCGCAAGTGCTAAGAATAATTACTGGCATGAGCCACCACACTTAGCTTGAAAAATTAGGGTTGTATATTAGTGCACATCATTGTCTCTTATTTTTATTTTTTATTCTGTACATTTCTAAACATATAGAAGTGGATAAATCATAAGATGGATGCCCATCACCCAGATTCAACATTTATTAAGACTTAAAAATACTCACCTACGCCACATTTTATTTTAACCCAGTTTACACCAGTTGTTAAACAATACAAAGATCTTCTAAATAAAATTTAGATAAAAGAGCAAAAACAATAATCACAGTTTCTGATAGAGTCATTCAGCTTTTCAATGTATGATCCTTATGTGTTCAGAAAGGAACTTAATATGCTTGGGATCGGTTTGTTACATGTGTTTCCTCTACACTGGCGCTGTAACCTTCTTTAAGCCAAAAAATATGTTCAATTAGCTTCAATTATCCATTACCTAGTTCAGTAGTTAATAGGTAATTGAGTATCAGTAAAATATCTTCATGCGTGTATATGCAGCACAAGTCAGTACTCATTCATCATAACTTTGTATTACTTAGCCTATAATACAAATTTTTGAAAATTTCTAGATTTATTTATTTATTTTATGTGTAAGATAGTTTGTGTGTGCAAACCACATGTGTGCCTGGTATCAAAGGCCAGAAGAGAGTGTCTGATCCCCTGGAACTGAAGGTACACGGTTGTGAGGTACCATATGGCTGCCTGGGATCCAAACCTAGGTCCTTTGGAAGAACAGCAAATGCTCTAAACCACCAAACCATCTCTATAAACCCCACACAAATCTTATACCGTGTTGACGATGTAAACAGATACAAGGCACTATATAATTCCTCATAGTTTCTGAGTATATATTTTAGGGAGCACACACAGCATAGAAGAGTAAATTAATAAACAAGGCTACAGAACCCGCAGAGGGGACAAAGCTGGTAGGCCACTAGGAACAAGCTTTGAAGGTGGAATCCAGGCTCTGGTTCCTCCCTCTCTCTCTGCTTCTGTATGTTGCTCTGAAGAGCCTCTGGCACATGTTCCTGACAAATCTTCCTTCCTCGCTACGATGAGGAAGATTGAGACCCTCTGAAGCCACAGTTTAAATAAATCGTTAATCCTGTAAACTGTTTCTGTGAGGTATTGTGGTCACAGTAACGGTAACACAGTAAATCACAGATACAGAGGTGGGCTCATTGTTGTGACTGAATGTGACCCCATGGGTCTTAGGTCTTTGGAACTGGAGTGTATGAGAAATTTGGAAGATATTGGGGTGTAGGCAGAGAAGCCTTGAAGACTGTAAAAGTAAGTGTCGTGAACAAGTCTGGTGGGATCCTTGAAGACCAGAATGCTAGAAGAAATGTAGATAATGAAGACTGCACTTTTGCCATTCAAGATGGGGACAAGTGCTTTATTGGGAACTGGACTAGAGGCTAGTTGTGTTACATTTGGGCAGATAATGTGTTTACATCTTGTTTATATTTTGACAATTTGAGTGAGGCCAAATTCAAAAGGAATGGACTAATTAACTTGGCAAAAGAAATGCCAAGACAACAGAGCACACAGGCTGTGGAATGGTTTAAAATTTTTATATTTATTTGTTGCTTTGGTGTGTGTGTGTGTGTGTGTGTGTGTGTGTGTGTGTGTGTGTGTGTGCACAAGTAGGTAAGAGAACAGCTTGAGGGGGAGTTGGTTCTCTCCTTCCACTAAGTGGGTCCAGAGACTGGACTCAGGTTGTCGGGCTTGGTGGCATGTGCCTTACCTGCTGAGCCATATTACTGACACCTGTGGCATGGTAATTAATGGCTGCTCTTAGTCCAGTTTATGGTAAGAATTAGCAGCAAGAACTGGCACAGGAAGACATGAAAATGTGCATGCTAGCCTAACAGTTCTCAACCTATGGGTGGCAACCCTTTTGGGGGTCAGACAGTCCTTTAGCAGGGGTTGCCTAAGACCATCAGAAAATACAGATATTTACATTATGATTCAAAACAGTAGCAAAATTACATTTATGAAGTAGCAATGAATTTCCACTAGAATTTCCATAGAAAATTGAGGACAAAGTAGTTATCATTATCATTGTTAAACATGTTAGCATCTTTAAAAAGAAACTAAGCAATTTGAACTGAGATAATACAAATTGTGACTTGAGGTCATTTCAGAAATTAATAAGAATCTATAACCACAGGTGTAGTAGGAGTTTTCCTATCCCAGCAGCCACTCTTGAATAACCACTCAGAAACTTAATACTAATTATAAAAGCTTGGTCAATAGCTTAAGCTTGTTACTAGATAACTTTTACATTTAAAATTAACCCATTTTTTTTTTAAATCTATGCTCTGCCATGTGGCTCGTGGCTTGTTACCTCATTTTTTACATGTCTTGCTTTCTCTGTATCTGCTGGCGACTTCTCTGACCCCACTCTGCTTTAACCCCATCCTCCTTAGTTTGGTTCTCTGGCCTATATTTCTAGCCTGGCTACCAACCACTGAGAGAAATATATATTTACAGTGTCCAGAAGGATTATTCCACAGCACAAAGGCTTTAGTGTATAAAACTATAAACTCACTGGAAGATTTTCCTTCAAAAAGACAGTATTTTACTCTCACAGAGTTGCCTGAGGAAGTGCTTTCCCGGGTTCAAGCCAGGCATTAAAAGGCTGCTGCAGCCATGGTCCAAGGTAGGGCTGGCTACTTCTTGGCAGAACTTGGAGTTGTCCATTCGGTTCTGGTTTTGCAGGTATGTAGAGGGTAAGAGTTATGTAGTCAAAAAAGTTTGCACTAAAGTTTTTGAGAAATGACTGGGGGTTCAGACAATGTTTAGCAAGCTTAGAGTTTGTGTATAAGGCTCTTTCCTGGGGGCTGCATGAAGCTATGAGAGTGAAGTTGATATTACAATGGATACAGGATGTTGGATATGCCAAGAGCATATGCTGAGGAAACCTACAGGCAATGAATGGATCTAGCCCAAACGATAAGGCCACAAGAGTGGGGTTTCCCAAGCTCAGTCATGGAACCATGTACTCCAAAGGTTTGACATGGAACTATAGGAGTTATTATTTTTTTCTCCTGAATTTTATTCTTATTTTTCCCATCTTTTCTTATTATACCTCCATTATTCTCTTTTAGAATTAGATTGTTTATTCCTTGTCATAAATTGGAAGTATGTCACTTTAAAAAAATGATGGAAGGCTCTCAGTCAAGAGATTGCATTCTCTTCAGAAGAGACTTTGGGCTTGGATTTTGAACAGTGTTGGAATTTAAGATTGGTGGGCTCTTGAAGTTAGACTAAATACATTTTGCACCATAAGATAGACAAGAGCTTTGTGAGGTCAAGCTCCTTTTGTGAGGACATTTTTCACCAGCTCCCAGTGCCAGCATGGATGGCTGTGGAGTCCTTGTTGGGATGTGTCTCTGTGACTTAGGCTAAAGCAGTACACTTTCAGTGTGCCCTTGAAGGTTATACCTGGCCCCAGGTGGCTCAATTTCTCTTGGATTCTTCACAGCCTCAGTTATGCAATCCAGTGCCATCTACCACACCCTCTAATGTCATGATAGGATGAAATGGTTTAAAATGATATTTAACCCAGATGTTTTGTTTTTTTTCTGTTTTACTCAGGTTGTTCTGTCAAACTATGTAAACACAGAAAGGAAAAGGTAACTAATACACTGTAGAGCTCACAAAAAGCTTTTGGAGTGGGGAGATTGGTAGATCGGAAAGCAGGGATGAACATTTAATGGAGTGCCTCGTGGACTCTTAGCAAATAAAGTACTGAAATTCCATTTTTTAATTTAGTAAAATATGTGTGAGAAAAATGCTGGGTATGTTCTTAAGATGGTATTAACTAGCCAGTTAGGGCTGGGTTCTGTTGAATGTTTCACTGTATGGGTCTTCTCTCTACTCCTGCCAATGGGACTTGTACATCCCAGGGTGTCTGGCAGGGGTTCATGGATGAGATAAGCAGATCTAAGGATTTATTCACCATTCCCTAAAGAAAGGAACACCTACACCTACTGAAATTTATGTTCCTATAAATGCCTCCCTCTGTCACTTAGCCACATCTAAGCTTTGAGATGTTGCCAGGTGCTTTCTAGAACACGAGACTCTGCCTCTGAGGGCGAGCTGTGCTTCCCCCTCCCCTCTGCATGTGTAGCTCACATGCCTTAGCCATCTTTGTTAGTGAGTCTGGTCTTTCTTTTCCTCTCTCCATTACCATTTCCATTATGACAAGGCCATGATCCCCCAACTTCCCAGCGCTTTTCTTTAGCATACACCCTCATGCTGTCCTATTCATCCTTGTTCTTTCATCTTCCTTGGAAAATCTCTCTAGCTTGCTGCCTTTCCCACATGCAGACACTCATCACCCTCCTAAATATTCTTGCTGTTAGCCATTCTCCTCAATCAGGAAGCCATATGTAGCTCATAACATAGGTTTTAAAATTATACTCCCTGTCTTCTAATTCAATCTATGCCTCTTGGTAACTGGGCATATTGCTCAGTTCTTCTTTCATTTTTCTCAGTTGGGTTATTAGCAGAATTTTACAAACCTACATTGTGGTTGTGAACATTCAGACCCTTGGGTTCCTTCATATTCAGTTCCCTTGGGCTTAATCCAATGACAGCACTATTTCACTTGGATGAACTTTCTGTCAACATTATTTCAAACATTCACTTTGTGAAGTGCTCCATCACCTCCAATCTAACTCACTTGTTTTCCTTAATCAGGACTTTCGTTCCTCTCTGAGCTGTAACCTAGGTTGTCTCCTAACAGTCTTCCATGCAAGCATGCTGTGGGATGTCCTGTATGTTGTGAATAAATAAAACTCTGATTGGCCAGTAGCCAGGAAGGAAGGACAGGGTAGGCAGGACAAGGGAGAGAAGAATTCTGGAAGGTGAAAGGCTGAGGCAGAGAGACGCTGCCAGCCAGCCGCCATGACAAGCGAGATGTAAGGTACTGGTAAGCCACGAGCCACATGGCAACTTATACACTAATAGAAATGGGTTAATGTGTTTATTTTATAAGTGGGCTGTTGGACTGCCGGGGCTTGGTGGGAGCCAGAGAGAAAACTCCAGCTACACGAGCAGAACCTCGCTTTTTGCTATCCCTCTCCAAATACTCTGTACCATCCACTTGGTCATCAACCCAAACTTATAGTAGTTCTGCATATCTGGGATGAAGTGACACTTAACTTCTCATGGATTTATGTAAGGTTACAAGAGTGTGAAAATATGAGATGTGTCCTAATTTTCGTAGCCTTATCCAGAGCACCTAAAATGGGTTGTTGCTGAATGGTTGAATATGTGAGGAATTCCTTCGAGTATTTTTATAACAGTTTTCTGAAGGTATGTTTTGGAGATTGCTTCTGGCTAAAGTATGGATGGATGACTAAATATTTAAATTGTATTAGCATAAAATGTAAAACTACGACCAGCGCCATTAAATAAAGAGTTCCTAGAATTTTATTAGATGGCACTAGAACATTTGTAAAAGATCATCAAATATAACAGAAGTAACTCTGAAACCATGTGCTTGGGAACTTGAGATGAATCTACAGTCTTACCTTTAGCACACTGCCATTTTCAGAGACACTGAGGCCTGGCTTCTTCAGCAAAGGTCGGCCATCCTTGAACCACATGAGAGTAGGTGGGGGAACAGCATCACTTTGACAAGTTAACTCTACAGCTTGGCTAATGAGGACAGAGACATTCTGTTCTTCTCCCATAATATTGGGTGGAACTAAGCGAAAGATGAAGTTTTCTTCAGAATAAAACAGGCTAGCATACTATTAATGTCCATTAATCATCAAGATATAAGACACACACTGAGGAACTCTATTTTTGTTTCCTTTTTCTTTTCGATAGAAGAGCACAATCATTCTTGCATGTGCTATTGGCTTTATTTTATTCAGAGTCAATGTTAAATTACTGATTAATATATCTGTGTGGACCAGAGATTCTACTCACCAACTTTTCATTTTAAAGAGCTTTTGCAATTCAAAGTTCTTGCCAGTTACATCTAACAGCTGCACAGAACTAGATGGCACTCCTCGGGTTTTTTTAAAACAACAAATCACCCATGAAATATTTTTGAAACAATAATGAATTAAAAGAAAATATTATTTCAATATTTATCTGTATCTTCTGCAAAAGAAAGAAGTTTCATATTCATCAAGGCAACATCTTTCAAAGCATCAGGAAGGGAATGTAGAGATCATCTTTCTAGCGCCCCACTTCACAGTGTGAAAATGTAAAATAGGTGATGGGTCTGGGTTTACACAAAATGCTACGGCTGATGACAAAGACGAGATTCCATGAACATGTCGTCTAGAGTGCTCTTCTGTGCCACACCAGCTTTCTATGGCCTGAAAGACTGTGCGGGGAAACAGACACGAGAGAGAAGAGGCTAAGTGGCCAGCTGTACAGCACACTCATGATTACATGGAAGGAGGTGGTCAGCTGAAACTCCAATGGGATTCACATCAGACTCTCCTGGCTCTCAGCCTTGTCAGATGCTGGGATGTGGACCGACGGATGCTGAAAGAATCCCCTTCCCTTGAGTGTGTTGAAAATAACCTTTCTCAGGTGGCTTAGGTGCAGCTTTGTCAAGAGTAGGCTCCCATCATACCCATCAAGGACTCACTCAGGCCTGTATCCATCTATCTTTGGAAAAGGGAAATGACAAATGAAACCGAGTCTGCTACAGGAGGGCCACTCGAGGAAGGAGCGTGGGGGAGATTTCCTTGGCAAACTCTCACTGACTCTATTTACAGTTGTGTTTTTTTGTTGTGGTTATTGTTTGGCTTTGATTTTGTGGTCACACGAAAAACTTGTCTGCCTGTATTTGGAATGGCTTCTAAAAAGGCTGTCCAAATGCTTTGGTGGAAATGAGATTGTGGTAGGAAGGAATGTTACTACAGTCTAAAGGCTGCTGTTTCAGGATCAGTACTCCAGCATGCGGTAAAGTGATGATCAGTGTAGTAGGCTGACTAGCAACATGCTGTGCCTGTAGTCATCAGAGTTCTCTGCTACCAGATTGCTTCAGAGGGAAAGAGTGAGGAAACAAGGGGCATGTCTGTGGGTCATCTCTAGGCGTATGGCTTGAGTAAACCATGAATGAATGGACTATAAAGGAGAAAATACCTCATACAATGCATGGAACAGAGTAGGGGAGCATCTTTGCAGGGATCTGTGGCATCCCTGGTCACTGAGCATCACACAAGGTGTTGACGCATAGTGAGCGTCAGGCAACTTCTGAGCACCAGAAAACAGTGGGGTTGATTTTTATAGGTGACACACTAGGGTAAAGATGTGTGGATAGTTTGTTCAAAATCATGAATACTATGAAGTAGCAAATAGGCACATTTAGTGGCACTGTAGGGACCCATGAAAAAAGACACATTCATAAGCTTTGGCACAGGAATCTATATACAGAGTGGCCATTTCTACAGTTTGATCAAATTTTGAATTAAGTTTGGCTTTCTTTGATAAAAATTACCATAACTATGTATGTTTGTCTTAGGTTTTCTGAAGAATTTTAAAAAGGCATGCTTTCTTTATGACTGTTTTAAACATCAAGGTATGCCAAGACGTAGAATGACAAATATCATCTCTGAACTGAGGCCAGTGGAGCCCCAGCATTATTCTGGGGGCTTATTCTGAGATGGAATCAAATACTACCCCCTTCTACATCATCCAACTGCATTGTGAGTAGGAAAATTATGAATTTTATCTGAATTCATGTCTAGCTTAGTTTATATTTCTCAAACAGCCCACCACTCAAGAATATTGGCCTGATAACAAAATAGGTCTCTTGTATAATTAAAAGCAATGAAACATGGTTTTGAGCAGAATACATAAAGACATCTTTTTCAACAGACATTTGCTATAGTTAAATTGTGTCTTCCTGTTTGTTGAGCTGCTAGTTGTAGTCATGGTCTTCTGAATGCTTTAAAGAATACCCTACACTACACACTATGTATACATTTGAATTAAAATTTTATTTCTGCGAGTGTGTGCCATGTGTTGTTATATGTATCTGGCGTATATGTATATGAGCACAGAAGCCAGAGCAGAATGTGAGCTGTATCCATCACTCTCCTCTAATTCCCTGGAGACAAGGTCTCCCACTGAACCTGAGCTCTCTGGTTGGCTAGCCTCCCTTGCTCACTCACTCGCTCCCTGTTTCTAGCCCCCAACATTTAGGTTATGGGCACATAAGACCATGCAGCTTTTTACACAGGTATCAGAGAATTAAGCTCAATCTCTTATGTTTACAAAAGTACTTAGATGCTCTGAATCATTTCCCCAGCCCCAATATCTTGGAATGTAAAAGGATTAAAATGAATCAAACTCAAACATAAAGCAGAAATAGAATTTGATTTGAGCTAATTTAGCAAAAATCATCATGTTATCTCTCCTGTTCGTCAACAATCTCCCTTAACACCTATTTCAGCACACAGCCAGCTTGTCTTACCATATACTCTGAGGTCGATGTCCCTCTGCTTCTCCCCAGCAGCGTTCACTGCCACGCAGGTGTACCTTCCTGTGTCACTCATCTGTGCACTGGTCAGAGCTAAGATGCGACCCCCAGAGAGAACCTACCAATGGAAACAAAGCCAATTAACCAATACACCCATGAGAATAGTAGTGTATTCTTTTTTATCATTTATACAAATGTTCATAGAGGAGAGCATGAAAAGCATACCTAAGAGAAGAGGGAATAAAAAGAGGTCATTCTCCAAGATTTTCTTGGATAAAATAGTTTAGACATCACAACAGTATTAACCAAAAAAAAAAAATTAGGCACATTCATTGTTATATTATCCCACAGATCTAGCAATTTCTTTTAATATTGACTTGAACTTCATGTCTTTCAGGATCATCAATTCTGAACAACTGAATTTAAAAAAATAGAATGCCAAAACTATATTCTGTGTTGGCCAAATTGGTTAGTTAAACTTTATATCAACACAAACACCTATTAGAGGTATTTGAGTTCAGCTTCAGACTACAGCAAGAATAAAATATCGTAACAAAACAAGTCATACAGAATTGGGGCTCCTCTGTGTGTATTGAAGTGCTAGCCCGTGGACTAAGTGTACAATAGCATTGAGTCTAAAGCAAAGTATATATTTATCAATTAAATACTATTTTACTGCTTAAAAGCATCACTGACCATCTGAGCTATCAGAAAGGGGCTGAGAGACTTACTCAATGAACAGTTGGCACAAAACTTCCATTTGTTAAAAAAAATACAATATCTGCAAAGGAGCATGAAACAAAAGCACAATAAAACCAGGAATGTCTGTGTACAGGCTTCTGTGCTTCTAACTCAGAGCCAAGGGTGCTTCTGTGTTTTTAACTTAAAGTCAATGGACTGCTTTTAAAATTTTCAGAGACTCGGATTTCATTTCTCATAATATTTCCATTATGATTTTCTCTACTTCATTCTTTGATGTTTTTATGGACACACACATGCCTCACTGATTCATTATTTCCAGACATTTAAACAAAACCCTACCAGAAATTTCTTGTGTTTTTTGTTGATGAATATTCCGTATGCCAGGAATAGAAACAGGCATGGGCAGGAAAGAACAGCTATCTAATGGGTTAAACTTAACACCCACCTGTGAGGGATGGGGACTCATATATACATATATATGAGTTTTATTATATATATATATATATATATATATATATATATATATAATTATGTGTATGTGTCTATGACAGGCATTGTGGGTGCTTGTGCACACACTCTTTTTGAAAATAACATTTACTAACTCTTGTTCTCCAAATCTTGTCAACTGCTTCATGAGTCTGAGTAGCCTGTGTTGAACATGTTAGTCATAGAAAAGAAGATACCTGTATTCCATTAGCGAAGCTAGAGACAGGGCTCCCATCTTTCAACCAGGTCAGGCTGGGGGCAGGGATGCCCCTGGCTTCACATTCCAACCTTGCTAGATTATTCACCACCACCTCCACCATGGAACTGCTACCTGAGATCGAAGGAGGCACTGAAAAGAAGGAAAAAAATGATGCGTGTTGTCACCACGGGATAACGAAAACCATACGTAATCTCTATAATGATTTTTTTAACAGATAAATTTCTTCCTTATTTGTTTTGGCTAAGTTTTTCACATCTTATCTGAGATCTAATCACAGTAATCCTGTGAGGTATGTAGAGCAAGTATCAGTGTCACAGTTTGCCAGACAAACTGTGTGTGTGTGTGTGTGTGTGTGTATGTGTGTCTGTGTACATGCACTCACATGCACATACCATAGCACATATGTGGAGGTCAAAGGACAATTCTGGGGAGTTCTGTTCTCTCCTTCTACCTTGTTGAGTCAAGGTCTCTCTTGTTTCTGCCAGGCTGTGGACTCCATGCTCGATGGCTCTTGAGCTTCAGATAGATCCTCCTATCTCTAACAGATCGATCCTCCTATCTCTAACAGGTTGATCCTCCTATCTCTAACAGAACGATCCTCCTATCTCTAACAGATCGATCCTCCTATCTCTAACAGATAGATCCTCCTATCTCCTATGCCTATTTGGGCATAGGAGTGCAGAGATACCAAATGGGTGCTACCACATCAGGCTTTTTCACCCAAATTCAGGGGACTGGTTTTATCTGTTGAGCTATCTCACTGGCCCTCAGTGAATTCTTAGTTATTGAGTTATTAATTCCCAGAAGTGTGCATGTGTGTGTACACGTCCTTTTCTCCATTACATCCTCTCCTGTATTCTAATTACCGATGCCCCTTAAAAAGTTTTCCTTGAGATAATTACTTAGACATAGTTCTTTAATACCCTTGAGTGTCAGAGTAATTAACAAAGATGGTGTTGCTATTAGCTGACAAAGACATCTCTGGTTATTTCAACAAATAATCTAAAGTTGAAGTTCAACAGCAAGTGAAAACTAGGCATTTTAATAGGCTTCAGGAATAAGAAAGTTTATCAAGGTCTTTAAGTAAAGATATCAACAGCATACTTCTGTTCATTATCACATCAGAATTTTATAGAAGCATATGGTCATTATGCAGGAGTTGTTAACCCAAGATGAATCTGAGAGATGTAGCACTTACCATGAACTTGTAGGCTGTAAAACAATTCTGTAGCTCCAGCAGAGTTGATGGCTACACATTTATAGATGCCAGCATCTGAGATTTGAGTCTTTTCAATATCAAGGATCTGCCCTCTGTTCAGGAAGACTACACTTGTAGAACCCGAGAGTGGGTGGTTGTCTTTGTACCATGTAATAACTGAAGTGTGAAGGGGAGAAGTAAAATTTTTCTTTCAAAAGTCAATCTACTAAGTTGGATCTGAAATAAATATACTAAGATGTCTCTAACTAAAAATGCTTTATTCTTATTGTTTGAGTTTAAGTGGCTTAAATATCTCTTGAGGGTTGATTTTTAAGAGAAGATAATCCTAAGAAATCCTGGGCTACTGAGTCCAATCAATGAGTTCAGGAATTGAACCAATGAAAGACATTCTCTACATTGTTTCTAATATGTCAACATTGCTTGATGGTAAAATTTTTTAGCTTATTCTATTTATGTTATTGTGCATTTCCTACAAAATTGTTGACATGTTAAATCAAAACTATCTATCATGTATAATATTGGATTCAATGTTTTTACATTGTCATCAGTTCACAGAAATAGCCTACCAGTGATAGGGAGATACAGAAAAAAGTGACAGGGTCATTAGAATGACTATGATTAAGAATCAACTTAGTTCATCCAACTCCATTAATATTCTTTTAAAAATTTACAGTATCTTTTTCAAAATACATGGACATAAATACAATGGTAAGTTTTATGACCACAATATAGATAGGATGATCATGGAATTTAAAAGTTTCTACATTAAGTAGAAAGATTCTTCCATTCAATTAAAAGCTATTGAAAATTTTAAAATATCATCTCCCTAATGAGACTACCACATGAAATGTATGCTATTACTTTCCTCTGTTACAAATTGGTACATTATACCCATACCAACTTTTCTATTCCCAGAAATGTTAAATGTTAATCAGTTGCAAAGGGACAAAGCAAACATACCAGGAACAGGATTGCCTGCTGCTCTACACTCCAGTTGAATGGGGTTATTCACCACCACTGTCTCATTGAGCATCTTTCCTGCATCGTCCAGGCTCGGGGGTTCTGCAAGGCCCAAGCATACAATGAGCTCACACGAACATGATATTTAAACTGAAATTGTTATCTAGGTGAAAGTTATATGTTTCTCTCTTCCTCATACAGTTGGTGCCATTTGGAACAAAAGTATAGTATATTATTAAAGAGAATTGAAAAACAGATAAAAGATTCTATAGATTTCTGGGTCATCTCTTTCTCTGTAATCAGGCAGGAAAAGTTATAGATTCCTAGTGTAGTAAAAGAAAATGGAGAGGATCAGAGTTTGCTGTGAGGTTGTGTCTCCTAGGAATGTCAGAAGCTATATCCATAAAGTCTCACCAACATGACTGCCTACACATGAGATGAACACAGACACCAACAACAGACATGCCAAAGTGGAGAGAAGAAAGCCCACAAGGCCTTAGCCCTACACAAAGAACTATAGGCAACTAAGAAATGCCCGGAGTAGGGAAATAGTCTTCTCCAGGGCAGAGAAAACCAACTGATTATCCAGTACCAAATGGTCAGCCCTGAAAAACATACATACAAGTAACATTATACAGACTTAGAAGGCTATATTTAGAAATATTTATGCATATGCATATACATACACACATGTAACAACAATTAATGAAAAGAAAAAACAGGACATGAATTTGAAAGAGAACAGGAGGGTATACAGGAGGGTTTCCAGGGAGGGAAGGGAGAAATGATGTAACTATATTATAATCCCAAAAGTAAAAGAAAAAGAAACAAAGTTAAAAGCATAATTTTTAATTCAGTTCACCTGACTGAACTAAGGATGAAATATTTTCGTAATTAGGTAATTTACCCATATGAATTCTCCCAGTGAAAGAAATGAATGTGCCTGAAAATATCCAACTTTATTTTGTGCAAGACTTTCCTAATCCACTTTTTAAAAAAATTAGAATAATTTCTGTGGGCTAATGAAGAGTTTTTCTTCTTTATATAAATTTAAAATGAAAAAGAACCTTCCAACTTTAGACAATCGCTATTAATTCTGCTGTTGTTATTTTGTATTCATGGAAAACAGGAATGTGCAAAAACCAACTTGGAACATCAGTGTGATATCCCAATAGTAACTCAAGGGGTGTGGGAAGAGTGCCAGGGTAAGAATCTTATGATCTCTTCTTACTCGGAGATGAAACTGTAGATATAAATTGGCATTCACAGTTTGTAGAAATAGTGTGTTTTTACAGATTAGAATACAATGTTGGAGGTAAAATCTAACAAAGAAATAAATCAGGATTGAAAATTTCAGTTAAATATTTTTTAATTAATTAAAATAAATTTTTGTTGTTGTTTTGTTTTCCAAGACAGGGTGTAGCCCTTGCTGTCTTGAAACTCACTCTGTAGATTAGGCTGGCCTTGAACTCAGAGATCCACCTACCTCTGCCTCCCAAAGGCTGGGATTAAAGTCATGTACCACCTCTGCCTGGCTTTAATTTTTTTTTTTATTTTTAAAAATTAGGTTTTTATCCAGGCAGTAGTGGTGCACGCCTTTAATCCCAGCACTCGGGAGGCAGAGCCAGGCAGATGTGAGCTCAAGGCCAGCTTGGGCTGCAGAGTGAGTTCCAGGACAGGCTCCAAAGCTACACAGAGAAACCCTGTCTTGAAAAACAAAAACAAAGACAAAATTAGGTTTTTAAATTATTATTTTTTGAGTTAAAAATACTTTTCAATTTATTCCAGGTGAAGGCAACACACACACACACACACACACACACACACACACACACACACACACACACATACACTTCTCAAAAAGCATTAACATAAAAAGTTGGTTGGAGATAGGCCCAGACAACAACTGGACATTAATATATAACAAATTAGTATGTAAACAAAAATCATTAAGCATGACAAAGCAACTTGTTTCATATTCATCAAAGTGTTATAATTCATGAACAATCCTTCATAACTACAATGTTTTATGGGTTGAACAAATACAAAATTAAAAAGAACATTTAGAAATCAATTGTATAGTGAAATAAAATAAAGTTATAGAGGACTATAAAAATCAAATTACCCATGTAGATTTCTTCATTTGTGTACATAGTTGAAGCTACCCAAGAGTAGCCATTCTTTGCAAATGCCTCTAGCTCATTAAGCCACAAAATAGTGGTCAGGATGAGCACATTTAATGGAGTTACAATGAAAGGAACAGGAATCAATATCAAAATAATTAAACTATGTACATGAGATAAAACCCCATTAAAGATAAACTCAAGACAAACTTAATATGTTTAGAAAAAAACACAATAAGAAAGAGGTCAATCGATACTGGAAGCTGCCGCTGTCAGTATAGCACAGTATCATATAAGCAAACTCTTAAGTCCTAATTAATACATTTCCAAAAATATGTTATAATGGAAATAAATGTTCTAAGTTTTCAACTCAACACCTAGGAAAAGACCAACACAGTAAACTAAGAGGCTAGGAATAAAGCTTCTTAGTTTATTATAATTAATTTATCACAACAAAGCAAAAAGCAGAGTCTATCACCAAAGAAAAACAAGAATTTGAGAGACAAGAAGATTCAAAGTTGTTATTTGATAAGGTGATAATAAAGTTTGTGATCAGAGGTAGAGTTCTCTGTGAGGCAGACATCTGTTTTTCTGGAGGTCAAAACTCACCCTAGAACTCATTTTTTCACTCCCATACTTCCTTTTGCATTCCTGTAGTTCAGTGTTTTAATCCTTCCTGTTTAGCTTTGTGGGTTTTCCTGTTTGGTACACTGAGTTCTCATTATCAACCCAGAGTTTAAGAATGAACAAAGCTCTAAACATGGCTGCCAGAGCTACCTGACTTTTCCAACTGTATAAAGAATAATAGCCAGTGCATGGCACATTCCTCACCACACTCACTAAAACACTTGCTTAAAGCCTTCTGGACTGAAGTGCTGGGTGACGGCTTTGACAGTCACAGCTGCTACAATAAAACTATGGTGGGAATCAGAAGCACCAGGGCTGTGGAGTGGTCTGGCTAATTTTCACATCAATAGAGAGCTCAAGAAGAAAAAGATTGAATTTCAGCAAGAATGGGAGAGGATGGTCTTGGCAAATCCATTCCTCAATTAGAGAAATAATAACATTGGAAAAGTTACCAAAAATCAGCCTTTTCAGCATTCAAAAAATGAACCCAAGTTGTGGAACCACTCAAAAGTAAAGTGTTTAATAAAAAACAAACAAGGCCGACCTCATTAAAAATGGTGAACTTGTGACGTTTTTAACTCACCCCATTCTTGCCACTCACCACACCTCACCCAAACTTACAAACAATTAGTCTGGCCTGGAGAGATGGCTCAGCAGTTCAGAGCACTTTTTCTTGCAGAGGACCAGGGTTTGAGTCACATCACTCACATTATGGCTCATCCCTAACTCCAGTTCCAGAAGATTCCAATGCTCTTTTTTTCACCTCCAAGGGCACCAGGCATGCAAGTGGTGTACACACACATATGCAGGCAAAACACTCAAATACATAAATTTAAAAAAAAAAAGCCAGAAAAACTAAAAACAAAATCCCAAAACAAATAGTTCACCCTCTCAGTGAGAACATTAGGGCAGATACCAAAGTGGGTAGAATGTCCACACTCTCAGTGAAAACATTGATTGGGGCAGATACCGAAGTAGGTAGAATAAATTTGAAGCTAATTAAAAACTTCATGTGGGAGCTGGAGAGACGATTCAGTTAAGAGTACTGACTGCTCTTCCAAAGGATCCTGGGTTCCATTCCCGGCACCCACATGGTGGCTCACAACCACCTGTAACTTCAGCTCCAGAGAATCTTACACCTTTTTTCTGGCCCTGCAAACTCCAGGCATGCATGTGGTGCACAGACATACATGCAGGCAAAACACCCAAACACATAAAATAAAATAATACAAAAACTAAACCCTATCCTTCCAAGACAGCTGCTATCATTTGTCCTGCGACACATTTGCAGGATTTGTCGTTATTTAACTAGACTTAGAATTCTCTTAGTGCAAACTTCTCCTCTCAGGGGTATTATAAACAGACTTTATTTGATTTGTTCAGAGAGACCACTAAATTACTTTCTGTTGCTTCTACAGTTAATCATGGTAAGCTTGCTAGCTTATAGCAAGACAGAACTGCAGGTCAGAAGTTCAACACCGCCTCCTTGGGTGCAAACCAAGGTGCCAACAAAGCTGAATTCCTCTCTGGGGAAGTATGAGAGGATAAGCTATTTCCTATTCTGAATTCTAGAGGCCATCTGCATTCTTTGGTGGTGGCCTTCTTCATCTCTCATTGAAGCTGGTCCTATCAGTCTGAGATTATACACACTTCTTCTCCCTTTAATGATCCTCATGATTACCTTGGCTCCTTCCAAATAATCAGGGATACATCCCCTACTTAAAGCAGAGCTGATTAATAATCCCAATTTGATCTTCCAACATAACTCCCCTTTAATATATGACTTCCCATAGTAACTGTCTCTAGAATCAGAATATGGACATTTTGGTGACTATCAGGAATTACACACTAACTATGTAAACAAGAGGCAACCAGAAAAGTCTTAGCAGTGACAATAATAATAACCACAGAGGCATGAGAATAGGATTTTAAGAATTAGAATTGTCACTGTGTGTTATTTTAGATGACTTTTCAACAAAAGCCAAGATGGACAAGGAAAGTAGAACATGGCCATCCATGGAGCAAGAAGCAGAATAGGCTCTTTTCTAGAAAGTCCAGATATTGGATTTACAAAACCACATTTTACATCAGCTCTTCTGTCTTCTCTAAAGCCCCCTCTCTCAAAGGGTCTCAGACGCTTTGCTTAGAGAGCTAAAGGAAGAGGGAAAAAAGCACTTTATGAAACCCAGATAGCTAATGAAGGGATGGGATTGATTTAAAGAGCCAACTAGGAACTCAAGAGTTCCAGAATTTGATAAGGGCTCAACAGCATGTTTGAGAAGCACATTGGTAGAAGAAATAGTCAGTGGATAGGAAGATAGGTCAAGTAAGATAACCCAGTTTTAGAAGAAA